TCATGCTTATTGGCGATAACGTGACATTTGATTTTGAAAACTGGCCAGTGTCTAAAACATCCAAACAGCCATGAGAGAAGCGAATCCTTTGAAATGGACCAAGTAAAATTTGCAACCATCAATTGCCTTCCTGTGGAAAGAGGACGCCGTCTATGAAGGACAAGATTGATTAACGAAAAACTCTTCTGTGAACGCTTTGTGTAACAATCTGGAACAAGACAGTTCATAATTCAGTGTTTATTAGCCGGCAGTTAAGCTGTGAACAAAGTTCATATGTCAAAACAAACAAAATCTGAGTACGTATTTTCCAAAAGCGATAACCAAACAAATATAAAGCAGTTTTTTTTCGCAAATAATTAGTTATTTAAGCGAAGCAAATTTTTTCCAATTTTTTTTTCCACTTTCTTGTATTTTCTTATAAAAGGATATGGTAATTAAATGTTTCGACAGCTCTTTTTGCAAAGAAATAAGTTTTAAAATCGCAATAAGGTCGATATAGCGCTCTCCTTGTCTCTTGTATCTATACGGAATATAATGCTTAAAATTTTTCCTTGAAATTGATTGCCTGAGTTATCAGTTTTTCACGGGCTAAAATTTTCAAATATTAAATGAACATTCGTTTCGACACAAAACATTCTCAAGACTATTCTAGTTTTAGGAGCAGTTTACAGTCTGTAATATTCTATTGCAGATATATGTGTATAGGTCTGTTTTGTAAACTTCTATGTTGAGTGACTTCCATTGGTGACCCTCTAGTTTAGTTTGTAAAGGTTATTATTTTTGGTAAAATCGCTTTCAAGAATCTATGTTTAAGAGACAGGCCAGCCATTAATAAAGAGACATCTGTAACTTTAGCTATAAAAATTTTTTTTTCAGGACTCAATAAGTTTATTAGGGGCAGTTGTCATTGTGCGATGTTCAAGTTTACTAACGTTTAATTAAAAGAAATTATTTTACTTAAGGTCTTCTCATATCCTGCTGAAGATTTGTAGGACAGACTTATTTTCCTTTATTGACTCATTTAGGACTTAGATTCTTTTAGCCAGTCCCTCTCCGTTAGTTTGAACGTGACACATGATGGCTGGTAGACTGGGACTGACGGAACTCCGCGTTCAATTTTGAAAAAAGTGTAACATTTTCTTCTAAATTTGTCTTTACTTTTAATTCACATTTTTTTCCATTTTATTACATAAATACTATCTCAATTATAAACTGACACGTTTTCAATTCCGTCTAGTGTAACTTGTAAATGGACTTTCCTTATTGTTAAAAGGCTTCTTCATCTTAACCACTTCTATGTTTAGTCAACTCTTAGGGTA